AGAATAAAGGGGAGGTAATGTAGAGAGTGGTGGAGTTTTGTTGGCTACATAGTCAGTCAAGTTCCAGTAGAGAATGATGGCATGTACATGGAGCGGTGGAGTGTGTGTGATGGGCGAGAGGTGAGTGTTGCGATGAGATGAGTGGCGATAATGTGAGGGTGTGAGTGCGAAGAGAGTTGTTTGTAGGTGTGTGGGGGTAGTGTAGGTGGAAGTAGGCGTGAGTATGTGTTGTGTGTTGCGAGTGTGGTTGTGTGGCAGAGGAGGGTGTGCGCGGAGTTCGCCGATGTGCGTGGCGGCACGTCGGCTCGAGAGGCGAGTGGATCACGAGCGCGAGAGTGGGTGAGGCGTGATAGATCAGCGTTGGGTGGTGACGCTAACCAAGCGGCGTAAGGGTGGTGCCCTAAAGAGGAGCGTGGGCTCCGGAAGGAGCCTTCCTCTTTGGTGCGAGCCTTGTGTTCAAGGAGGCGAATGTGCCGGTAGGAGGAGTCGTGGCGGAGCGATCGCGGAGTGAGAGAGGTGGCTGCGTGGCGGGGTCTGCGAGCGGAGTGCGGCGAGGGCGTGGGGGGTGCGAGGAGGTGGAAGTCGCTGCGTCAGAGTGTAGCGTTCGCGAGTCGGTAATAGAGGCCGGACGTGTCTGGCTGAGTATGGGGAAGCCTGCGCCCAGTATAGAGGAGGTAGAAGAGAGAGCGCGTGAAGAAGGTCTGTCTCAGACAAAGAGTAGCAGCACGGGATGTAACAATATCATCACCAAAACATACAGGATCTTTAAGTTTTTAACAACAATCAAATTAATAAGAATTGTTGTCGCTTTTTGAGTATATACAACATTGAAGATTGATTCTTCATCAAAAATTGTGTGCGTGTGATTTGGATGGTATATTGATGCAATAGCACGCGATGATATGATAGATTAGTCTGTTTGAAGAAAGGCATTTTCAAACCATGTCAAGATACCAACCGCTAAACTGTGTTAGTGGAGTAAATGCATCGTCAGAGGTTATTTTTTAAAAGAAGAATGTGTTTTCGTTAGTTTCTGTCAAGTCATTAATATAACGGAGGGCTAGGAAGAATAATCACTTTTGTATAGTAGAATAAAAGATATTATAAATAGTAATGATAGGATGAATATAAAGAATAAAATATGAGGCGTGACACGTGTTGGACGACGAAGGGCGTAATAAAGAGCCTGCACGCCTCCAGACGAGCGAAACTATTTCAATAAACCAAACCTGAGAAAAATGTACTAAGATTTTAGGAAAAGTGTAAAGATTCAAAGTTCTAGTAATAATAAGTAGCTGGAACTATTTTAAGGGGGAAAGCGGCCTTATATTAAACAATATACCCTCACTGAAACTTATATATTGGGCAAGAAAGATGCAGAAGTTGACTTTGATTAGATATGCACCAATTTTATAAGCGTCGTTTATATCTCATAATGCAACATTGTTAAACATAACACATGTAGGATTGTGCAAAGGTACAGGGCACTAAGAAAAATATAAAGTAACTTGCACAGAAGCCATAACTCGAAACATGAATTGAAATCTTAATACCGTTTTACTTACTCTATAGCAAACTGTTATGACCATGTTACACATTTAAAACAATATCATGGACTATCAATTTTTTTAATTTCCATGATTAATAACTTTAAAAAATATGTAATTCGTCTATTATACGATGCATTTTATTCCCGAAGCAAACAACTCAAAACCTAAAATGCCAAGTTTTACATATGAAGTTATCACTTAAGACAAAAAAAATCATAAATCATAATGTAACCAATTTAAACAATTATAAGATACAAATACAATACAAATGTAACATATTATCTAACTGTAACTTGTACACGTGTCCAGTGGCTTTTGGGACAAGATTATTCAGGAAGAACAAGTTGAAGCGTTATCTTCGGAAGAAAAACCGACTTTTTTCTTTTTTCGATGAGAAGCTTGTGAATCCGGGAGACGTCAGACCATTTTACTTACTTTCCGCCTTCGACTTTCGAATAAAAGAAAACATACAACAGAAATAGAAGCGGCATGCACTTTAGTAACTTCAAGGGCCCATTGCAGGGACGTGGTAATTAATTCCTTGGCGATGGAACCACGACAGAGAAAGATTTTAAAAGATCAAAATGTATCATTTCAGTGGACATCAACAATAGGAGATAAGAAAATAAAATCAACTAGGACAATCACTTTAAAAAGTTTTGAAATGGACTAAATTGCTTGGTTTAAAAAGTTTATAAAGTTTAAAGTTGATATGATATTTGTTAACTTTGTTTCAGGGAAGGTGGAATATGTCAGATTTTGATTATTCCTATAACAATTATATTTATCTTTTATTCTTTTTTTAAAGTTTTTTATCTCTAAATTTCTTCTGTTTACAGTAAAATATTTCAGATTCACTTTAATACATGAATTTTCAAGTGTCAAATTGGTCCTCTTAAATTTTTGGTTATTCTATGTTAATATGATTATAATTATATGGTACGCTTTCTTGGTTTTTCTTATTTATTGAAGTAATTTATTAATTTTAAATAACCCCTACTTTCTCTGTGTTCTAGCATGAGGTTTTGTGAATTCATTTTAAGACTCTTATTGCTTGTGTTCACGGAAAAATGATAACTTTTACCTGTTAAAGGGCTAAGCCACTTCTACCTCTCTCATTAAATATTTATCTTCTCTTTTTATGTTAATGTTATCAATTTAAAAGCTTTTGTTGTCTTTGTACCAAGATTTTAAGTATTTCTTATAATAAAATAACATTTAATTTGGTATTAGCATGGCAAATAAAACAGGTTTAAACTTGAATACTAATGTAGCTGGTATCAAAAAGCTAAAACAGTATTTATATAGAGGTATTGGACTAAGCGAAACGGTTACATTATCACAGTCCTAATTATATCGTTTGATATCTTAAGATAATATCACATTCTTTATTCGATTGTTTGATATCTTTAGATGCCTCGGGTAACAGTATTTTCCTCGGGATGATATTCTTACTGTTACCCACAAACCCCTGTGTTATTTATATAATGTTAACTCATTTCTTCGCCTGCAATCTGTCCAGTTGAAGCTTTGTGCCTTGGGAATAAATGTAGAACTTTCTGTACACCATTATAAGATAAATAAGATAATGTAGAAGAGGTTTTTATGATATCATGTAACATAAACAAATATACACATATTATAAAGAATCCGCTGACTTTGTGCAGAAGGAAAGGGTGTTTTCTTCTGTAAATTATTATTCACCACATCTAATTAATTACCGGGAAATTGCAATGCCAAAATTGACAATAAAATTTGGCAATGCATCACGTTTTCAACAGAGTTTTATTCTCTACTTATATATACCCCCTATTAGTTCCCACACAACAATCATACAAAGACATAGACAGTACATTTTTCTAGATGTTTAATGAAGAAGCATACAATATACAATTGATTTAATGTTTTCACACAATACATGTACACCATGAACGACGAAAGTATATATTTGTCGATACATTTGTTATAGAACCATACAAAATACAATTGCTTTACAGTTTTCACATACTAACCATAGACTATGAAAGTAACGTTATAGTTCTTTTCTATGCATAAAATGCAGAGGAATATATTGATATTCAATTGTTTTACATTTTTCACACAACAATTATTCATGATAAAAATATATATCACATAAACAGCGGCGCGGGAGTGTAATAAAACCATCTAATAAAAACGATTTTACACTAGTGTAATAACACTTAGACGTGGCGTCATTTGCACTTTATAGGAACATAGCGTTAAAGCGCGCTAACATTGAAAAACTACTCATTTTAACAGTTTACTGTTCTTATTTTATAAATGTGATAAAAAGAATATTATATTCGTGTAGATTCAATACTAAATTTATTGAACTCGTTGAATAAAACAATATTATACTTGTCAGATGCTCGCATAATATGATTTTATTCAACTCGTTCAATAAATTTAGTATTAAACTACACTCATTTAATATCCTCGATGTATTTGAAAGCATTTAAAGTCGAAACCTACAATACAATATAGTTACAATTGTTTTACCTTTGTTACACAATACTTATTTATACATAATGAACGATGAAAGTATATATTTTTGACAGCACATTTGATGTAGAACCATACATATTACAATTCTTTTACAATTTTTACAAAACAACCATTCAATATAAAACTATATACATGTATTTGTCTAGGCGAATAACGTAGAACCATGCAATATACAATTGTTTTTACAATTCACACATACCAATCATAAAACTAGGAAAGTATACATTTTTCTTTGCGTTTAAGGTAGAACCATACAATATACCATTGTTTTACAATTTTCAAACAATATTCATAAATTATGAAAGTATTAATTTTCTATGCATTTAATGTAGAACCATACAAAAAACAATAAATATATGTTAAAATATGAGACATGGAATGGACTGGTGTATGATAATTCATTTTATGCATACCCTCCACACTGCTTATATAAGTAATTGAAAAGCTTTTTGTCAAATGTCTAAAGCCAATTAAGATATAGTATAAAATCTAAATGGATAAAGTACTAACTTTTTCTGCATTTCAGGTCTCCCTCATAGGGATACGACGCTTTGATCTGATATTACCCCCAACCGTTACCCTTGTATAATTCATTCTATAGAGGTATAATGAAATATATCTATAGTAGGGGCTGGAGGGAGGGGGGTAGCTTTAGGGGATACTATCAGATCAAAGCGTCTTATCCCTTTTTTCTTCTCTAGGCTACCTTACATCTTTTCTAACTTCCGACACTATCTTTATTATGGGTCGTAAGCTTAAAGACTACATGGACATGATTTTATTTATTCATTTATTTATTTATTTTTTTTTTTATTTTTTTTTTTTTTTTTTTTTTTTTTTTTTTTTTTTTTTTTTTACAATAGCTGTTTTGTTTATAAATGAAACGCATTAATTGTAGAATACAAAAACTTATGTTGACTATAAAATATGACAATGCCTCCAGCTTTTCATTGGACATAACATTGATTTAAACAAATTATAACAGGACAAGACATATGTTTTCCCTGCCAGATATTTCGAAAAACTACCTCATTCTTTCATGTTATACTTATGGCTTAATAAAGCCCAAATATCAATCTAAATACATGGTTGTTTCTTGTTTCTCCATACAAGCTTCAATTGAGTTTTTGGTGGTTGTTGCAGTTAATATAAATACATTTAAAAAACAAAAATGTTTGATTTAAAAAAAAAAAATATTTTTTTTAAATTCGTGCTGTAAAATTGTTATTTTCTGACAAAGGATAAAATATTTTCAAGTGATTATAATATTTCAACTGACTATATGATATCATTTAATTTTATGTCACATTGTTATATACGGTGACGTGGTTTAATGTTGATACGCGGTAATATGTTGTCAGTGCTTCTATAACAATATCATTGTCCTAAAGCAGACTTCAGTCATACATAAGACTTCTAAAAGTCATACCATTTCTCATACCAAAACAAACCCCAATAATTACAAAAATGTTCTTTTGAGTACGGTCATTAAATTCTCTTAATTTATGAACACTGCACCTGACTACTTATTACCTTCGTATCATCATTGATGACGTTCTCAATAAACCTACAAAATCAATCCCCTCATGATAGTGTCCAGCAATGGTGTCATTCTGATAAAGTCCATTTAGATTGATAAAGGTACCCATACTATACCACCAGGCTCCATGATGGCTCACAGCGCAGTTATCTATCTCCATATCAAGATCACGGTCGTACGTTGAAAATGGCATTTGATTATTATAATCAAATCCAGCTTCTGGATCTAGGAATAAAAAGACAGATTTAATCAGTTCTAGCACTGTCAATGTCACACTACGTCAAGACCAAATTTCATAATCAACAAGATACTATCCCCACAATCATACCAAACACCTCACATTCTGTTCATCACGGATATCATACAATTATTAACATACGTATTTACATTATGGCAAAGCAGGTCCAATATCAGGTCAATAGAACCACAAGTATTTGCCATTGAGCTTGTTGGATTTCTTAACCAGTCAGTGGGACGTTTTGCTGCATCACAGACCAAGTTTATTAGTCATCAACTGAATGAAGAGGAAAACTAACAAGCATATGACGCAGAACCTTAGATAAATCGCTCCGCAAAACAAGGATGCCATTTGGAGAATCCAAGGCTAAGGCCATGGACCGTTGCAATTGGCATGATGGGGTGCATGCCACAAATACATTGAAAGTATCCTAATATAATGTATAAACGAACACTCAAAGACGATCTCTAAACTGACTTTATATCAAACTTTGAAATTTTATATTTAGAGCAACATTAAAATATCAGACATGAATTGGTTCTGCTATAAATAAAATAGGAGTTGTTTATAATACTTTTTTGTTATTTTTATATGTCATCTTGCATTTTTTTAAAACATGTGTAATTTAAAGAAAATGTACACCAACGAAACGAATAAATTAGTAAAGAATAAGGGTTTTAAAACATGTAAGATAATTGTTACCTGACGAAAGTAGCGACAAATGTGAAATTATTTGTCAAAGACGTAGTGACATAAAATGTAAACAAGATATATTCTGACTTCAATACAAATATAAACCACTATGTCTGTAGTAATTGCCAAAACCAACAGATGAAACAGACGGTTCAGGTTATCAGCCAATGACTCGTATTTTGGAAACAAAAAAAAATAAAAAGCTTTTGAGACACAAAAATAGAAACATTTTCGATGCATAATTTGCCTTAAAAACTGTATATTCTTTATAACATCGCAAATCAAATAGTCGAAAACAATTCTGTTACAAGTCAAAATTTTTCTATGACAAATTAAATTTGTTTTTGCCTCATACTGTAACTGCTGTCAACCGTTTACTTTGTATTGGTTTTAAAGCTGATTTGCTTTCATTTAGCTAAATAAATAAAATATAAATGAACAAAATATAAAAAAGGAATAAGAGAAATGTTATATCAGCCTTAATATCTTACATAATAATTTAACATCTGTGCATGGCCCAATGTTTAGTGTATAGTTTGTTCCTTCTGTTAACTTAAAGTCTGGACAAGTTTCATGTCCTGTTACATTCCCACTACTTGTCATGTCAAGACGAATCTCTGTAGAACCTTGTTCAGCTAGTTCTTGTATATACTTTAAACCTGCGAATATATATGAAATGTTAATATCTAAAAATTTACCAAGATATTTGGTTGAATTCAGTCTTTAACACTTCATACTTCAAAATGACAAAATTATTACAATCATGATATCATTGTCTTTTATTTATAGACATTGACTCCTGCTCGGTTTTCTTAAGGATTAACCTTAAACAACTTATGTTAACAACTATACTGCTGATAAATATACTTCAACAACATATGTTTATAAAAATACTTCGACAACATGTGTTTATCAATAGACTTCAAAAACTTAATATGTTTATCAGTATACTTCAACATTTTATATAAGCAATTCATTACAGTCAACAAGAAATGTTCTAAGTGTATTCGTTAAACAACTATTTGTTTACAGTAAGCAAAATATTTGTTCCATCGTAACGAAACCCAGCTTTATGTTACGCTAGCAATAACTGCTAATGTTATATTGAATTGCGGTGATGTTGTAACTTCGGTGACTACGCAATAACTGTACTACATTTGTTTTAAAATGTCAATGCTACAAGGAATAAAATATTTTTCATACCTAGCCACAACTCTCCATCAACGTTCCCAAAGCCATTCTCATACTCTGCAAAGTTGCGATAAAAGTCAACTGACCCGTCCATTCGCCTATGAATTATCTACAAGAAATGGAAACATGTTGAGCGCTTACGAATTATGTATATAATTATTACTTGAAATTACATTAAGTGTTTGTCTGTTTATAGTCAGTTTTGTATAGCTAAGGGTTATAAACAACTCAAAATTTGTTAACCTTTTGACATTGCATATTTCAGTCCTATTATCATCATATCAAAATCATATTTCCGCTAAGGATACACCTGTACAAAGACCTCATAATCGTGTACTTAAGTTATCAATTTGTCATGAAGAACTTGCACGATAAGCACGTTGAAAAACATACCCATGGGAATTTGGTGTTTTATGGACTTCACGGACAGACGGGCTAGGGTTTGGAGAAGTCCAAATGAACGCTTAGCTCCGGTATGCGTTGCAAAACACGACCGTTTTTCCAGGGGTTCAGTCATGGTGTGAGCGGGAATAAGCGCTCAGGGGAAAACGGACGTACACATCATTGAAAACGGTACATTGACCGTAAGGTACATCAATGAAATCTTAGACGTCCATCTACGCACGTACGTCAGCGCTGTCGGCCATGATTCCATTCTTATGGATGACAACGCCTGTGCACACAGAGCCCACATCACAAACCGATATCTTGAGTAGGCAACTGTAGTCTGCATGGATTGGCGAGCGAGGTCCCCGGATTTAAATCCAATTGAGCATAATTGGGATATGCTGCAGAAAGCCATTTCTTTACGCCACGTGAAACTTTCAACAGTACAGGAGCTAAGATATGCAATCAAAGAGGAAAGGGCCCAGATTCCTCATCACAAGGTCCGCAGGCTCATCAGCAGCATGCGGCGGCGATGCAAGGCCGTAATTTATTCCTGCGGACACCATACTCGGTATTAAACACTATAAGCCAACCATTTCCTGATTTGCAACATTTTTTTATTCCTCTATGTGATCTCCAAAATGTTGAATTTCGTCCAGCACACTCTTTCCGCAACAGGCACGTGTCAAGGAACACTTCCATTGTCATTATTTTCATAAAAATCAATTCCTAACTAATCATATTTTATTCCTTTTAATCAATTGTCACATTTATTACAAAAACATTAAAGTAACGCACTGTAAAAAAGTAATTCTTAGCAAATTTTGAGTAGTATATTTCACTTCAAATGCAAAGATGGACAAAAGTCCTTAATTTTCTGTTAGGAACAGACCTTTTGTACTTCTATTCTATTCTAAAACAATTAACTCATTGACTTGGTCAATACGTGGTTGTACATTTTATAACATGCTTTTCTGTAGATACTGAAATCATTTCACAGTAAAATAATAAGATATAATTTACCAAGCAGCCAGACTGTAATTGAATGCGGATGAAAGGAATGCATCATAATTATGTGGAAATTTCGTTATTTCTAACACGACTCGCATTTTTCCCTATTATAGAAAAACCGAAAGTGTGTGTTATCAAGCAATAAAATCACTGTTAACGTTCTATATTTCGATATGTGACGTAATCATTATACCTGAAACGTAACCATTTAAAATCCGACGCGCTGAAAATAGGTACGGAAACAAATCAGGCGCAACTTTGCTTAATATTAGGTACGACAGCATTTATTTATTGATGTCGTGTTAGAATCGAAATAATACATCCGAATCTGTTATTTTATCGCTTGATAACATCATTTTTGTCGTTTGGATGCGCATCATTATATCCTTATTATATAATTCCTCGCATCCGAACACCTATTTAAACAGTGATGTTATTGAGCCATAAAATTACTGTTTGGGTTATATTATTTCTTAATTATACGAGTATTAAAACCAACAAATAAACTCTGTGTAATTTTACAGAGAAAGTATGCCTGAAAATTGGAATAAAATGCAAGTTGATATTGACGTCTATTTGGCTGTATTTGACTGGTTATTCGTACTGAACAAACAAGCACATCATGAGTTAAATGGATGTTATCATGTGAGTCTGTGAATCAGGGAAGAACAGTTTGCTAATCAAACATTCGAATAAAACAAATCTACCTACCGTCCAACCACCGCCATCGGTTTCCATGTCACAATTCACTGTCAGAATTGTACCAGATATCCAAAGTTCTATCTCATATTGTCCACTTTCCGCCTCAGGAAACTTATCAAGGACATCTTTACAATCAATTGGTACTAGGCAAAGATCAAAACAGTATTTGCAACAAGAATGAATGATTAACGAAAGTGTTTTCAATTACAATAATTTCATAAATTGTTTAAATAAAAATAACAAAAGTGACGTTTATCGATTATATATATTTGTCATAATGTCTATACCTGGTTGGTTAATCTTACCATACCTAAGATCTTTTATGACGTAATAAGACAGTTCTTGTAATATCGATGTCAGTACAAAGATCAAGTTGCTTTTATCCAGGCAGGTAATGTAACAGTGAAATCATTCTTATTTTCTATGACAAGTATTGCGACATTGCCATTTTTTTCTATAACCATGTTCCTTTCACTCTATCAAACTTTTGAGTAAATGTGAAATGCATGATTCAAAGTTGCTTCCAAACTTTACATGTAAGTTATAAACAAATTGGAAAGTAGAGTTATGGAGTAGGCAAAAATAAGATATTTTGCTTAAAATTGAACAAATGAAGATAATTGTAATTAAAGGCATAGTATGCCTCAGAAATCAATATATTTTTCCTGCTTAAAAAAGGACAAAACATAATTTTATAATGTTTTAGTGATAGTTTTACAGAATTTTAGATGCCTGTTATCTGGAGAAAGCAACGATAAATGTGAAATGATTTTTCATAAAAGTAGCTAAATGTAAACAAATTATAATTTGACTTCCATAAAGAATAATTATTCATTTTAACTATACTTTTTGCAGATGAAAATGATGGTTCAAGAAATTGGCAAATGGGTAATATTTTGATACTATTAAAGAATTTAATGTACCCAAAAATTAAAGAGCTTTTTAGAGCATTTCTGAGGCATGTTGGTCCTTTAAAGATCTTCTTAAACTCACCTCCCAATAAAAGACTATCATTTCATTTTGAAACGATTATAACAACAATGTCAGTAGAAATCATGCTAAAATGAGCCAATAAAGGGGGAAAAAGTTATCATCTAATAATGTTATTTTTTTATAATAATTATAATATTGTAAAAAATAATATACCTTTTGTAAGATCCTGTATTAATTCTAAAGTAATCATAGCGGCAATGTGTCTGTTTTTCATTATCAACAATTGGGGAAAACAAAAGCAATAGATTTATTTAAAGATTATTTAACTTTCTAAAAGACATCATCCAATATATCCTCGTTTTTCTGTTTATATATAAGAACATTTAGATAATATTTATTTACTTGCATAAGCATTTTAAGTGCCAAAGAAAATGTTTTGAAAGACGATATCGCCAGTATGGTAACTTTTATTCTACCATCATGACAAATTTGAATGACGTATTAAGTCAAGAAAAGAACAACAATATTTAAATACGTTACATTTTATTTCTGTCGTACACGTTGCAGTCTGCCATTGTCCTGAAGCCTCACATTTCACCTCTTGTTGACTAGGACCAAATCCTTCGTCACATTTTACTTGAGCTACGTCGAGGAACTTGTTTTCGTCAGGAGTAATAATCTGTATTTTACCATTTTCAATTTTCTGATTTAAAGCACAGGCTGGAAATAACAATAATAACAAAAATAATAATGATAATAATAATAATAATAATAAATAATAATAATAATAATAATAATAATTATAAGGTATTGTCTAACCAGTAGTTTATACTTTACAAAAAAAGGCCAATTTCTAAATGATATATTTTGATTTTTATTGCGCAAATCGTGATCAAGTATTCTATTTTATATCAATGTGAACATAATGTTTTTTTTTGCTGGCAAATGTCCTACATGTAAAATACGTTTTATTGTCCTATTATTTTGTTTATTGCTTCGTTTTGTTAATTTTATATGTTATTGTTATACTGAAAATCGTTACAATCCTTTTCGTTCAAATCAGGCTAAGAAAAGCAAAAAAATACGATTTTTAGTTAATTTCTGATTATTATTGACAACTTTTATTTGTATGTCTTTATGTTGTAAGTGCTCCAGATGATCTACATAAGAAATTGAAATTTTATTTTGTTCGTATTTATATTTTAGGAAATCAGTAAAAGTCATTCAATACGCAAAAGTTTGAGAAGGGTGGATTTAAGAAGTGTCCTCTATCTACTATAGAGCATCCTTTTGCACATGTCTTCCAGGACAATACTTATTAGAACATGGCATCTATCAAACAAACATGTTTGCGTAAATATTTCTTGAATAATAATACAACATTTAATTCAATAACAAATAAAAGTGTAAAAATAAAAGTTTATATATACTTATGTCTTTGCACACATGTGAAGCAACATTTTGGTAACATCTTTGGTTCGCTTTACACGGCCTTGAGCCACAACTTCCAACCATTGACTATAAATAGAAGAAAAATATAAGTAACACTCATTCATTCTTTTGTTGAAGTACAAGAACTATTAAAATGTGAATTTTCTGAATATATCACAATAAGGTAAACTCTACCTATGATTTTATACTATTGGCAATGAGTGAAAGAGAACTTCTGAGATTATTCCTCGAAACAGTATCTTCAAAAATATGTTAGACATGAAAATATCATTATCATGAAAAATATTCATTTGTGACTTTCAAATGTAAGAAAGTTATAAAAGATGTGTCATTTCCGTTTCCAAACGTTGTACATATCGTAACTATAAATAAATTTAGATACTTACGTTAGGCCATTCGCTGATATCAGAAAATATAGAGCCTCGTTTTGTTTCAAACTCCAATGGATCAACGGACGACAGGTCAACATCGTTTAATTTACAAGTGTTCTCGTTTCTGTCAAAGTCGAGAGATTTACAGACGGACAATGCCATACAGGTTCGCGCACAGTCTTGATGGTTTTTATCATTAACTTCTAGCACAGAGTGACCGATCAAGACTTTGTTGATATTTTCCTTGCTTATTTCAAATAAATTGCATTTGTTTGAGTAAACTGTTCC